CACTGAGTATTTGTTCTTTTTTGAAAGCTTTTTCTTTTCTTTTTTTTTTTTGTTTTGAAAATGAAGCTATTCAAAATATTATAAAATGATGTAATGGTGTCTAACGGCCCGTTACAGCCGTTACGGTACCACTATGACCGTACGTAACACCGAAACGGACCATTACATATGTGAATTTTTGTCACACTGCCATAGCGGCCATAACGGTGGCGGGTAACCACCATAACCGTTACGTGAACGGTTACGACAGCTTTAAAACCTTGTCCACCCATTTAGTGAATTGTTTAAACTAGAACCAGAAGAGCCAACTTAATCTTCTCTCTTTTTCACTACAGGAAATAAGGGTTTAGGTGGCGTTTTTTTAACGGCGTTTTTTAAAACGTCACTATTTTTAATATTTTACGGCGTTTTATAAACGTCTTGTTTTTTTTTACTTGAAACGGCGCCGTTTTATGAATAGGAGGCGTTTTTTTACGCCTTCAAATGCATGTTGTCTCACGCGCTTCCTTTTCCAATCTGAGAATCTCAACTCCAAATTGAATCGATGCACTCACAAATAAGCTCTCTCTCTCCCCGCTGTCTAAACCCTCAGAAATTGAAGTTGCTTATCAATGGAATGCTCAGAAATTGAAGTTCTCTCTCGAAATCGAAGTGATTCATCAGAGTGATTTCGAAGTTCATCTCAGGATTCAGATCTCGAAATCGAAGTTCATATCTCGAAATTTTAAAATTCTGAGTTCAAATCACTTCGATTTCATATTGCAATTCAAATTTGAGTTTATATCACTTCGATTTTGATTTAGATCTGAGTTCATATCACTTCAATTTCGATTCAGATCGTGATTCAGATCTCGGCGATTCAGATCGGTCTCAGTGATTCATATCTCGAAATCGAAATCGAAGTTCGATTCAGATCGTGATTCAGGTATCATCGATTCAGATCGGTCTCAGTGATTCACATCTTGAAATCGAAATCGAAGGTCATCTCAGCGATTCAGATCGGTGATTCAGCTTGGTGATTCAGAGGTTCAAATCGATCTCAGCGATTCAGATCGGTGATGAAGACAGTAAGATTACCACTGTTCAACTAAGGTTACTGCAATTTTTCCACAAAACATTATCACATGTTCAGGAGACACAACTTATGATGATGACAGTAAGATTACCACTCTTTATCTCTTCATTTTTTCTTCTCCCTACAAATCCCTTCACATATCCAATATCCAAACATAGCTCAAGCATTTTACTTCTTGTTTTTTATGAGTGACATGGGATTTGCTTATATGTCTTTGATGTAATAATGATTTCTTGAAGAATTTACTTCATAACAAATTCTTCTGGTCTTGTGAATTCTGAAATTAGGGCTGTAAATTTGATGCAAAATTGCTAGTTATGCCAAAGCTCTTATGATTAGTTTGAATTGAGATGGAGGTATTTGTGTTAATGCATTTCTCCAAGCTCTTATGATTACATTATTTTCATGAGGAATGGCATTTTGCTTATGTTATCTTACAATCCTATGCATAATTTTTGTTTTTTAGATATACCACATTAATGTGTGCATAATTTATGAAGTCTGTTGTTTAGGAATTTGATTTCAGAGGGCACGATTCTGCATTCAAAGACCGATATCTGCAATTACAAAATGTTCGGGTGAGCGTTGGGAATGCCCTGCACTCAAATTTCTCTGACAACCCTGACCAAGAATGTATCCTTGCCACAATTTTGCATGTACAAACACATATATCAACACACATGCATTTGAAAAAGAGATGGCATGTAAACATACATTACATGCATAGATGAGAAATTATGTAATGGATTGAGAGTGATCAATAATTATATTCATAATGTTAATGGATTTACTTGGCTAAGTATTCCATATATATATTATCTTGTTTTCCCTGAAAATGTGACTACTTGACTGTGTTTCGTAGCTATTAAACAGGAAAAGCTGATCCTTGGAATGCTGAGCCCTATCGATGAATTCTCCAACATAAATAGTAGGAACAACCAGTGAATGATACTAAACAGAAAGCAAAGGTGTGATGTTGGTATTGGTATCAAATGCGGACCTTCTAGTTTGTGTTGAAAAACTTCAAGCCAATGCTTTTCAGCCCCTCCTATTGTATCGTACATATTTCTATATTTATGTGTTTTCGTATTCTGGTTGCAGGCATTATTAGTTGATTTTGAAGTGCCAGAAGGCATCTATTCCCGAGCATGCATCGAGGATACTGATTCAGTATGTTTATGGCTGGGAGCAAATGTCATGCTGGAGTACTCATGTGAAGAGGTATCCCACTTGTAATCTTAAGATGTTAGCATTTACACACGGACACGAGATTTTAAGTGCTTCAAACTTCAAAATGCAAGCCACTGATCTTCTACAAAAGAATTTGGAAAATGCTAGAGCTAGTTTAGAAGTTCTTGTTACAGATCTACAATTCTTAAGGGATCAAGTGACCATTACTCAGGTATAGTTGGTGTTTCTCTTTTTATGAGTTGTGGTTGGAAGAGTTAAAAGATTGTTTGCTAATGAACAAGCTTGCTCTTTTTTTCCTTTTCTTAAATAAATAAAATAAATAAAAAGGATAAAAACTCATTTGAGAAACAGTTCAACAGTCCAAGGCGTTTGGTGCTTATGGCACCATGAGGCCGTGGAGGCAACATAGAAAAAAAAGTTGGCACGTTTTGTCTCTGAGTTTTGATTATGACATAATATGGTGTCATAACGACATTTTAGTTATGACCCAAAATAATCCTTGTTATTATAAGGGTCTATTTGGTGCCAACTTTTCTCTAGCTGAATGCTAATAATTAGAAAGCAGATTCTAAAAGCATCTTTCTCCCAACTTTCAGATAATCAACTTTTTTTCAACTTATTTAATCTATTTTTGAATCATAAGTTACAAGTAGAAGTTGCATTACCAAATATCGTAGCACAGAAATTCAAATTAAAAAAAAAAAAATTGAAAAAAAGCTGTAAGCAGTTCCAAAAGTTGCACCAAACAGGGCCAACATGTTGCAAGCCTGTTCACTTCTGTACATACGAAAGCTCACTTGATTTGAGTATTTGGTGATGGGTCTTTAACCATATCACTGCCATGGAAATTTGAGAGATTAAATCTATATTCCTCATTGAGTTAAGACATTTTATTTCAGATTGACCATATCATTGAGTTAAGACATTTTATTTCGGATTGACTATTAAGCATAACACGGAGATGTTCAGGTAAAAAATTTGCCTCAATTCTGGTATACCAGTGTTATGGTTTACAAATTTTTAACTTCTTTTGTTCTGATTTTTGTTAGCTTGTGAGGCGCTTGGAAGAGCAGCTCTGGTAATAGATGCGTGGATGTTTATTTTTCTTGCACAATGCTTGATCATACCTGCAAATTTTGCCATCTAGATGGCAAAATTTCAGAGACATTAGATCTCGAATCGATGTTAGTTGGGCAATCATAAATGTAGTTGAACTTGACATCTATCAGTAGAAGTCCTCTGCACCTCTATTTTTTCTTCGTTAGTAAAAATTGATGCTTTTGATTAGTGATTGTAATAATCAATGAGAGCATTAATGCTATTGCTTAATATAGAAACATAAACTGCTTTCATTTAACTTTTCTACGTTTTAGTTTCTACTTTCTAGTCTTCCCCGTCATATTAATGGTAATAAAGATAATCCAAATGCCTAATCATGTCCTTTTTCCTTCACCTCTTCTTTTTTCACTTCTCTGTGATTTTTTGTTTTTTTTACACGTTTATCTAAACTCTATACTAAACCATTGGAACAGCTTAGCTCAGCTAACTCTAATCCTTAAGGTTTGTTGATGTCTATTATTTTTATGTTTCTGTTTGGTCAGAGCGTTTTCATGTGGAAACTCCCATCTTCTGCACAAATATATTGCACCTACATGGTCTTAGCTATGTTTCTAACCATCTTTACGCAATGGGCTTTCAATTTTAGATCTAATTTTTTTGGTGATTTGATGAATGGGAAATATGGGTTGAATTTGAAAAGTATTGACAGTTATTTACTGGATTCGTTAACAACATGGACATTTTTGAAAAGAAAGAAAGAAAAAAAAAGAAAGAAAGTGTAACAATCCTTCAAAACTTTTCTGAGTTGTGTTTTATATAATAGAATAGATGATGATTTTTCAGGTAATCCCGGGAGAGTATGGATTCATTGCACAGCTGAATGAGGGCAGACACCTTAAGAAGAGGCCAACTGAGTTTCGTGTTGATAAGGTCCTGCAGCCCTTTGATGGGAACAAATTCAACTTCACTAAAGTTGGACAGGAAGAGGTGCTTTTCCAGTTTGAAGCAAGTGATGAAGACAATGAAACCCAGTTCTTCCCAAATGCACCCATCGATGTTGAGAATTCTCCAAGTGTCGTGGCCATCAATGTATGCCTGCTTTACTTGCTCTTCATGTTAAGATTGTGTATAGAAGAAGTTTTAGCTAAGCTGGTTTATTTTAATTATGCGTCAACAGGTTAGTCCTATTGAGTATGGTCATGTACTTTTGATCCCTTGGATTCTTGAATGCCTGCCTCAGAGGATCGACAGGGTGAGTTTCTTGCTTGCTCTTTACATGGCAGCAGAAGCTGGAAACCCGTACTTCAGATTGGGTTACAACAGCTTGGGTGCATTTGCTACAATCAACCACCTTCATTTCCAGGTTCATATAATATCCCCTTTTTCGTATCCCTCAAATTGATTATAACAATTCTGTCATCATATCTCTTACTAGCAGCAGGTGCACACGCAATGTTGTGCAAAGGTCTGTAAAACCGTTCATGTTTGTGGAAATCGAAATATTTCAGTCAGTTTGATTCTTCACATGGCAGTGTTCAAACTCATTGGCAGTTGTGGGCATTTCTGGAAAACGAAAAAAGTGTGAGGAAGCATTCACACCAACTGACACGTGCACTTTATATAATAGCATAGATAGTATAGATAATTAGTTAGTTTTTCTGTTGGTAAAGGAAAGAAAGTTCTATGATTTTTATGGCTACAGGCTTATTACTTGGCTGTGCCCTTTCCAATTGAGAAAGCTCCGATTAGGGAGATGACTACTTTGAATGGTGGGGTGAAAATCTCCGAGCTGTTAAATTATCCAGTCAGAGGTCTTGTTTTTTAGGGTGGAAATACTCTGGAAGATTTGTCCAATGCTGTCTCGGATTCCTGCATTTGCCTTCAAGATAACAACGTACCTTACAATATGCTAATCTCTGAGTCTGGGAAACGGATCTATCCTTTTGTTATCTATCCTTTCTCCTTTAGCACTGTAGGTTCTGTGACATAACCGTACACTTTAGATAACTATTGCATTGTCTGGTTTTGAAATATTCTGTCTAAAAAGTTCGAGTACGAATCATTGCTGAAATTTCAAGTGCCCTTTTGTTCTTGCACTCGTTCAAACCTGAAAAGATTGTACACGGCGACCTAAAGCCGGAAAACATCCTTCTTGATTCCAATCTCAACTGCAAGCTATGTGATTTCGGGATTTGTAGACTAATGCCAGGAGAGACCCTCCGTTGCCCAAGTTTCCGGCGGTATACCGAGCCAAAGGGTGCTTTCTCATATACTTGCCAAGGCTCATCAATTGTAATAGGTGCTATGTAGCATTAACTGTTGTGTTGTGATGCTTTTTAGCTTTCTAGAGAACACTACAAGGTTTTTCTTTTTTTCATTCAAGTGAGAGCGTTGTGCTTGTGAGCAGGATTGATTAGCCTCAGTAATGCTTATGAAGAATCTTCAAGTTGGTGTATGCCCTAAGTGAACTACAAACTAAGCTTCAGAAGTGATTGAAGTAGCTAAATTGGAATAGCCTTGTAGGTCCTATTTGGACAGAGAACAGAATTTTATTTCATTCCTGTGGTTTTTCTCGAGCAAGATGATTTATTTAATCTAGTGAATTTTTGTGAAAATCTTTTGCAGAACCGTACCTGACTTGGATTATTGGTGGTTTTGCTTTCAGGAGATAATGCACGATCCTCAGGTGGCAGCCGATGGATTCACCTACGAAGGAGATGCTCTGCGTGGATGGTCGGCAAATGGCCGAGAAACTTCCCCGATGACCAATTTGAGACTGGATCACTTGCATCTCACTCCCAACCATGCACTGAGACTTGCTATTCAAGATTGGCTTTGCAAAGTTTAACATACCATTCGTATACATTCAGTCTATGTCATAATGTATAGTTGTAGAGTCTTCTTGTATTTGGAGAAAAAAAAACCCTTTTACCATTGTATTTGGATAACTATTGAAATATTCTGTCTAAAGAGGACTGGGAGAAACAACAGGCTAAAGAGGTAGAGCATTGCATTGGCTTCTGTATGCCAGTTGTATCAAAATCTTGTATTGGTATCACGAACTTTTTTTTATGTATTTTATTTTATTTGTATGTTAATAGGTTAGTAATAAGGTAGCTTACAACGAATGAGCTATGGTCGCTCTATCGATTCGTTGTTGCTATTGCACATATGAAACTGAATTAATACTTCATTTGTTATTTGAATGGGAGTTATTATTTTATCTGTTTGTTTTATTATAGGTATTTGAATGGGAGTTAATATTTTGTATGTTAGTTTTATTATAGTTATTTTTTTATTAATTGAATGAGAAACCAAATTCAATATTTTCTTACAGGTATTCTTTTTAATTTAATCAAATAAAACTAGCACAATCTCAAAAAAAAAAAAAAAAAAAGTTTATTCATATTATTGTTATTTTTCAGCTTTATTACAGGTATGTTTTTTAGTTAAATATAACAGATTCAGAACAATTTTTTTTAAAAAAAAGAGCTATAACGTCGTTTTTTCAAAACGCCACTACAGTGCCAACGGACATTTTTTTAAAATAAAAAAATTGCAATGATGGATCACAGATAAATGTAACCACTATAAGAACCAGTGTAGGCAGTCCCAAAGAAAATCCACTAAACAATCAAAGTTCACAAAAAGATTAGTCCTCTAAGATTTGGGCATCAGCCTCTTAATTATCTATTCCCAACATGATCCATACCACACAAATGAGGAGTCATAGATACTGACCATTACAACATGATCCATACCACACACGAATGAGGATTGTGATCTCCATCCCTCCTTTCTCCTTCCAACATAGTGTCTAACACTTCTTGAATGGGTCTTAATTTAAAAATAAAATTTCATAATTTTGGCCATTTCAATGACACTTCTCAAAAACTCCCAACATGACATATTGGTGAATAAATTTCCAGCAGTCGTGAAAATAAGGTTCACACACGCCAAACCACCAGCATACATGAGGTATGCAAGGAACAACTTCTTACATAACAGAAGAACATAACAACAAATATTTAAATAAGATAGCTAAAAAGCAAGTAGTAGATGTAGTGATTATATACATACCATTTCAATAACCCTCGACTAACCCGAACCAGTTAAAGCCACACCACCCACACTGTAGGACCAACCCTATTGCTCTGCGCCGCTCCCCACACTCCACCTCTGCTTCTATCTAAGAAGTACGAAGCATTGGTTTTGCTTCCCTTGAAGATGGGTGTAGGTTAGCTCCCCATGCAAGCTTATCATTTATACGGACTTGCAATATGATGCACACTTAAAAGGCCACGAGTTTAAGTGTTTGGCACTGTGTACCATTTTCACTTCTACAATCAAAAGGATCCAGGGAGACTTACGTGTAAGTCCTAATAAATGGGCTTATTATCCAATAGGTCCTATGATAATTAATGGCGTTTTTTATCAAACACTATTAAAAAAAAGTCACTAATTGTTAATTTTCAATGACATTTTGAAAATTGTCACAAAAAATGTCACTAATTATAAGTTTTAACGACAATTTAAAAAAATCATCACAAAAAAAGTTACTAATTTTTAACTTTCAGCGACAATTTGAAAAATTCGTCACAGAAAAATATTACTAATATAAGTTTTAGTGACAATTTATAAAAACCGTGACAAAAAAATTACTAATTGTTAATTTTACAATTTATAAAAACCGTGACAAAAAAATTACTAATAGTCAATTTTTAGCGACAAAAAAATCATCACAAAATCATTTTTAGCGACGATTTTACTGTGACTTATTTTCAATAGGACTTGATAGAAATTAAGTCTAACTATTAGGACCTATTAGAAATCTATATTGCAATTATTTTATAAGTATCCCATTGAGTTATAATTTTTCCAAACATTGCTCTAATTTTTAATGGAGGATTTGGTCAAAGTCCCCTTATAATAAAACTTTAATGCATTAATGACAAGCTCAAAAAGTTTTCCTTGAAAGATCCAGCATATACCACTATTACTGAATTATTAAACTTTAAAATAATATAACTTTTGATCCAAATATTGATTTTTAATAAAATTAATATTTTTAGAATCCTTTTATTAACATCTAGCAAATAAGATCCATGTTAACTATGAAATTCTTAATATATATATATATATATCTATTATTACCATTAAAATTAATGTAAACAGTAACATGTAACATGTTGCTCTGTCTCATAATAACATATTATTTTGGTTCACAGCAACATGTTATTTTGATTCGCAGTAACATGTTACTGTGACAATATTATCTAAGAAAAAAAGAAGGTATTTTTATTTTGTCGTTACTCAATTATGCGCCTCCTCTTTGGGAGATTTATGAAGTAAAATAAATTAAATTGTCATTTTCACCAAACAAAGATCTAATAGAAGGGTTTAAACTAAATTTCACATTTTTGGGGAATGCCCGCGTCTGCCAGAATTTTTCTTCATATTGTCTAATGTTTGGTTTACAACCTCACTCAATTGGAAAGCCCAAACGAAAGTCGAAGGCCACAACCCCTCCCCCCCCCAAAAAAAAATAAAAATAAAATAAAAATAAATAATAATTCAACTAGTTACCAACAATAGAAAAAGAGATCAATGTTTAATTACTAATGGGGTAAATCTATTTTGCAGTTAACTAAATTATTCATTGAAAATGATATGAAAGACAAAATTGATTATATAAGCTTAATAAGTAATTTTGTAGTTAAAAATGTAAGAAATGTAATATTGAAGTGATGATATTTTGTTGCATTTGGATTAATTTGTACTAATATATGGCTTTATTTTTTATTTGGTATTTTTTCCCCCTTTGTTTTATACTGAGTCTTGCTAAACCATGAAATAAAACAATCAAATTATTTTATTTATATCTTTTTAAGTTCTTGTAATAATTTGTTAAGATCTTAATCTATGTAAGCAATTTTTGGGTTCCTAGTGAGGCTGTTTCAAACAATCATTTTGAATTGTAAATAAGAGGAAACTGAACTTAAAACACCTACAATATTTGAAGTTGTCTAACAGAGACTATAATTATTGATCCACATGAAAAAAAATAAAATAATAATAATAATTGAATTTTAGAATAATCAATGATTATTTTATTGATTACCTGAAAAATTCAAAACTTTTCTTATGTGATCACCTCCGTTTTTTTATTTTTTTTTTAATTTTTATATATATTTTAAAGAAGGGTAAACAAAGAAATTGAGATACAATCGCAAATTAGCATCACTAAGGACCACATAGGCTAAAAGAGGTGGCACCTCTTCCATCCAAACTTTCAACCCAGACCAAGCCTTAGACAAACGAGCAAGAAAGTGTGCTGCCTGCCTTATTACCAGCCCTTGGAGTATGAGAAACGCACAGTCCGAAGCAATAAAAGCAATGAAAGGACCAGGGGAGTTGGATACCCAGTTTGGTCCCAAACAATCACAGAGGGCAATTTTTGCTAATCAATGACAATAACCAACTCTATTATTAGTTGTTCTAGGTTCCCAGCTGAAAGTGAGCCCTCTAACAAATGCCAAAGTTAGTATCTCTCATAACTGCATCTATACTTTGTAAAACACAAAAGAATAGTTGTCCTAGTATCATTTGTTAGAATGTTTTAATAAAAATAATATTATATTAAGTACATTCACTATTTTCATAGTTAAGTATAAAAAATACTTAATATGTTTAATTCCAAAACTTTTTTAATGTTTATTATTGATAATTGTGCTATAAAGTGGTTTGACTTAAAAACATCTATGAATAAATTATAATTATAATCCTTAAAATTTAAAACCGTTTTTTATTAAGTTCTTGAAATTTTAATTTTGTCATTTAAAATTTAAAATTATTAAATTCAAATCAATTTAGTCTTGAAAACAATATAAAAATAGAATATAAACCTAAAAGTTAACAACAATTAAGTTAACAATTATTATAAAAACACACATGCAGAGAATAATTAAATTAACAATAAATTAAAAGTTGGGACCAATCATAATTTTACATAATTTTTAGGCTTATGTTCTTTTTTTTATAGGGTTAATTGATAATAAATCCAATATAAGGAGAGTATAAGGCATTAGGTTCAAGAGAGATTTTTTGTTAATAAGAGGTCCACGCTTTGTGAAATAGTTTAGTGAAAGTTCTTGGAAAACATTTTGTTTCCAATTTACCCCTGGACTTTTTTTATCTGTTTCACTTCTTGTTGACTATCTGTTGAAATTATTTTTATCTATTGAAATTATTTTTATCTGTTGAAAGTCCTATCTGTTCAAATTTTTTATCCATTGAATTTTTTGTTTTATCTATTCAAATTTTTTATTTGTTGAAATTTTTATCTGTTTAAAAAAATTTTAGGTGTTCAAATTTTTTATCTGTTCAATTTTTTTTTATCAACTGTTAAAATTTTTTACCTGTTCATTTTCTATTCAAATGACAAATTATCATAGAAGAAACCTTCTGGCCAACTGCTCATCAGAGACCTCCATTGAAGACTTACTATCTCTCTCTCACTAATATGTGAATCTAGCAACAAAGGTGAAAGAGATTAAAAGAAATTATACGTATATAAACCGCTATCTCTCTTTTCCTAAATTCTTAGATGAATGAATTTGATTTTTGGATTTCAGCCCAAGCAAGCAGGTTTATTCCATGGCAGTTGTCCACGACCACCACCACCTTAATCTCAAACTTCCTTAGACAACTGTCCACGCTTCCCCTTACCCCTCTCACCAGCACCTCCAACTTTCCACTCCTCTCCCTTCTCAATCACTGTTGTCGGTCTAGAAAAACTCTAGGCCTTTGACCATGGCAACAGCAGCATAGTCTACTAGGTTCGCCACAAGCAGACCTTCGCCATCTACACTGTACACACCACCATTGATGAACACGTTGCTGCAGCTGAGATCTTTTTGAATAATACCGATGGGTCGTTTTACACACCAAAAATAAATACTATATTGTACCAAATTCCTTAGAATAATGGTAAGTCTAAGTATCAATTCACAGGGACAAATGTGAAATTAAACTAATTTAATTATTAAATTCCTAAATTAATTTTGATCAAAGAGATGATTGTTCATAAACTAATAATAATTAAAATACTAAGAGATTAAACTAGCAATTAAAAGTAAAACTAGAATTATTGATTTTAGGGAAAACCTAGGGTAATGAATTCACCACTAGTTACATAAATAAGGTCTCAATTTGAAAATCAATTATGTTATGGTTCGAACCAAATAATACGTCACAACTACAAGGTCGAAGCATTGATCAAGAGAATTATCACGTTTAATGTATAGGCATGAACCATCTCAAGTAACACGAGTTGTTCACTCTAAACTAGGGTAGCAAAACAACTCGTCCCTCATAGTATGGCTCGTCTCATATCATGAATATGCAAGAATAGAAAACCATTGCATGGAAAGCATTCAACAATCACAGAAAGAAGAATACTTGATGAAATAATGGCTAATATATTTAAAAACTTCTTGAATACCATACAACTTTTTCAAACCATTACATAATCAACAATCCAAAAAAAAAAAAAACAACCTATTTACTTGGCTAGGGTTTCATCAAACCCCAGAAATAGAAGCCTAACCACTCATGGAGGAGTTGG